AACCCAACCGTACCCTTATGGATAGCTTCTTTCACTCTAGACAAAAAGAGGTCGTTCCTTGTTGCTTTTGCGATATTTTTGAAATTTATGCTTAGGTGCTTGTTGCTTTCTATGAAGTTAACATAGTGAAAATCGCCATCTTCCTCTTCCGCATTTTGCTGTGGGAGCCGAGAAATAAAATCTGCGGAATTAGAAACACCCTTTATTTATTTAATAGAGTAATTAAACCCTGACAAGATGACTGCCCAGCGCTGCATCCGAGCCGCCGCCATCACTGGTAAACCCTTGTTCTCCCCAAAAATTGTTAGAAGCGGTTTATGGTCAGTTTGGAGCGTAAAATGATTACCTAAAAGCTAGTGCTTTAGCTTTGTCACGCAAAATACAATTGCTAACGCCTCTTTTTGAATCGTGCTGTAATTCCTTTCGGCTTTCGTGAGTGCACGTGAAATAAATGCGACGGGCTTTTGTACCCCATACTCAAAAGAATGTGATAAAATTCCACCCACAGCGGAATTTGACGCGTCTGTCGTCAAAACTATGGAGTTTTCGGGATTGAAATGCGTAAGCACACATTCAGATATACATAATGTCATGTTTTAAGAGCTCTTAAGCCTCTTGACAGACCCTCGTTCACTTAAAGGGAACATTTTGTGTGCAAATTTAGGGATGAATTTCGAAAAATAATTCACCATTCCATTCCAACAAAAGCTCTTACCTCGGATACGTTCTGTGGCACCGGTGCATCTACCACAGACTTGACCCGATCTTTTGGTGAGACCATTGCGATCTATATTAAATCCTAAATACGTAATTTGGTCTTGAAAAAAATTACACTTACTTGCGTTTAAACGCAGTCCAACTGCTCGTAGCTTGGTTAGAACCGTTTCTATAGTTTTGACGTGATCGCTAAAATCGGAACCGGTAATAACGATATCGTCTAAATAGTTCACGACATTTGGAATACCTCTCAATATGTTCTCAATAGTTTTTTGAAATATGGCTGCGGCTGATTTCACGCCAAAAGGCAATCTGGTCATTTTAAAAATACCAACGTGAGTACTCCACGTGCATAGCATTTGCGATGCTTCATCCAGCACCAGCTGGTTATACGCGTTGGAGAGATCTAACTTCGAAAACAATTGACCTTGCATAGACGCAAATAACTCGTCAATGCGCGGCAATGGATACCTCACGTCGCTTAAATATTGATTGATGGTCGATTTATATTCGCCACAAATTCGCAAATCACCGTTTGGCTTGACAACTAGAACCAAAGGTGTGCCCCAATCCGAGTTATCGACCTGCACTAAGACTCCTTTGTTGACTAAGTCAGTAATTTGCTTTTCAATTTTATCTCGCCAAGCTAGTGGAACGGGGCGCGGTTTGCAAAAAATTGGCTTCACTTCCTCCACAAGACTCAACTTTCCCTTGTTTACAGTATACGTACCCAATCCTTCTTCAAAAACTTCACTATACTTAGTTTTAATATACTCGACTATGTCTTCGTGTTCTAAAAGGGGATTGATTTGCGAAAGCCCCAAGCCGCATATTTTCATAAAATCCCGCCCTAAAATGGGTGGGCCACACGAGTTGCTGACCACCAGACGCAAGACATGCGACTGATCCCGCGTCTTATCCATTGCCATAAACTCACCCGCTACATCGATTTGGCTGCCATTGTACGTGCTGAGGTTTTCGCTACACGGTTTCAACTCGTTTTGGTGAAAGTACTTGTCGTAAATAACTTTCGGTATCAGCGAGCAGGCTGCACGGGTATCTAACACGAAACTAAGAGGCACGTTGTCGACTTCTACAGCGAGTGTGAATGGAGAAGACGCCTGTCCTTTAGCAATGCTGTTAATAGACAGATCAGAAACAAATTTAAAACTGTTTGTCTCTCTAATGCAAGTGTTATCTTCATTAAGTTTTGATACTTCCACTAAATTTACATGTCTTTTACTGCAGATACTCGCCAAATGTCCCACGCTGCCGCACTTATGACACGTGCTGTTCTTAAATTTGCATTTCTCACTTGTGTGCGACTTCCAACCGCAATGGCTGCATTTCTTCTTCGCCTTCTTTTGATTGTTGTTGCGGTTTTCGGGTGCTGCGGCCATGTTCGCATTGCTCTTGTTGAAGGTCTTTTGGTTTCGCCGCGACACGAAATTTACTTCACTCTCGTTGCAATGCACGTGCATTTTGGTTTCTGCCACCATAGCTTTCCGTAAAGCTTGCTCTAAGGTTAGGGTCTCTTCCTCCTCCCACAACTTTTCAAAAATTTTGCCCTCGAAACCGGTTACAAATTTGTTAAGAACAAATGCGTTTAGCTGACCTGCAAACTTGCAATCCTTTGCCAGCTTCTTAACGCGCGCAAACCAGGCAGCTACATATTCGCCCGCTGCTTTCTTAGCGTCGAAAAATGTTTGCCTTTCGCGGAAGACTATAGTTGGCTGCGAATAATGACGCTCCAATAGACTGCATAAGCTACTATATTCCTTCGTGGCTGGTAACACTAATAATAATAATAGATTGGCGCTTACACATATGTTAGTGTTTGGCCGAGCTTCTCCTCCGATTTGTGGCGTGCGCCTTGATGTTGTCACACAAGGGGAGGGACCTACAGTTTTACGCCGACTCCGAACGGCGATTGTATTTTTATGAGAAGCTGTTTTTCATGGCAGAAATACACTCGGAGGTTTGCCATTGCCTGCCGAGGGAGGTAACACTGGATCGCATAAATCTCGCAATAGACCATATGCTCTAGGCGCACTGCCTTCAGTAACACCGACGATTTAATCTTATCGTCTTCGCAGGCAGTTTCAATAAAATCGGAATCCAGCAATTCCTTCCAATTGCTCCAATAGACTGCATAAGCTACTATAGTCCTTCGTGGCTGGTAACACTGGATCGCATAAATCTCGCAATAGACCATATGCTTCTAGGCCCACTGCCTTCAGTAACACCGACGATTTAATCTTATCGTCTTCGCAGGCAGTTTCAATAAAATGGGAATCCAGCAATTCCTTCCAATTGCGCCAACTGTCTACTCCAGGCCGAAATTCCCTTATGCCGGTTGTCGTTGGCAAGGCTGCCATTATGCTATCATTAGTGTACCGCAGACTAAGATTCGAATTATCTGCGCCTCCGATAACCTGTTTAATTCGTTTCAGACACAACGTTCATTTTCCTTTACATTTTGCTCTTAATGCTAATACGGCGTTTACACGTTTTGTTTATTTATAATACTAATACGGCGTTTACAAGTCTTGGTTATTCATAAGGGCTATACTCCACATTTATGAAAAGTGTTTAGGCTAAGGGTAAACCAAGCGAAACAAACGAAGAAAATTCAATAGGGATTTCGAATTGATTGTACTCTTCTTGATTTTATTTATATTAAAAAATAAAATGAATCGAAGTATGTATTTTCTGCAAGTTTTCTCAACAGATGTTGTAGCCGAATGGATATTTGCATTTCAATGAAAATTACTTCTTTATTGTATGTGATGTCTTCTTGATTTTATTGAAAGTTTTTTTTCTTACTTTTATGTGATGCCTTCTTGAATGTATTGAAAATGTAAATTCATATAATTAAATAAAATACTGTCGGCACAAGACAACACGTGCAGAAAACAGCACTCAGACTACATGCCGTCCATTGTACTGTTTCATGTCCCTTTTAATCTGTTTTAGATCTGCACGATTTACGAATAGACCTAAGCAGATTGTTGGGTGTCAAAGAGCTCAGGTTTTCGTCTCTCAACACACCGCGGCCAAATGCCTCTTACCTTATTCTTGTAAAGGCTGAGTAGAAGCACAAAAAGTGCTCCATCGTCTAATCTTCTTCAAGGTAGGATGGGCAAATGGAGTTGTCGTGTACGCCTATCACAATCAGGGTTTGTGCCACGTTAACTGGCCCGGCAGCAGTCCAGCAAGTTTTCTTCAGTCCCGTCTACCCAATGAGGGCAAAAAACTAGATAAGACCTTCTCAGATTGAAACCAACATGGGTTTTCCCTTCTGCAGCCCCTCGATTCCTTCTAGTAATTTCTGAACGACGTATTCACCCAGTTTCTAATGATGGCTTCGATGGTCGAAGGTGCTATAACTGGTTGCGTACCGAGAAATGCATGGTCTGAGCCAATTCTGGCCAAATGGTCCTTTAGTAGTTACTATGCTGTTTTCTACAATAGTTTTTTTCTGTTACAGTGTTTTCTAATATTGTAGCGGACTACAGGACATACAGGGTGTCCCAGAAGTAACGTGCCAAACTTTAGGGGAAGGTAGGTGGGGGGGTAAGCTCCCTGATAAACAAAAAATTTTCAGGTAAGTGTCACCGTTTTTGAAATAT